TCATTGGCAGCGGCGGCGGCCTCTCAGCCCACCCCGCAGAGGCTCTGCTTGGTGACCCTGCAGCGCCGGGCCCAGAGGTTCCGGACGGGCCTCAAGTCACTTCCGGGGCGGGGCGGGGCGACGGCATCCGAGGAGGCGGGGACGCCGGCGGCAGGAGCCCAGGGGGCCGCACCTTCCTTGCCGTGGACGCGGTTCCAGAGCCACCACCCCCGGGCCTCACCGGCCCAGCGCGAGGCTGTCCCACCGGAAACACGAGGCCGAATTCCAAGCTATTGTCCTGACTCGCCTGGGGTCGCGCGCTCCCTATGGCAGCCCTCGGGAGGCCGTCGTCGCTGTAGCCTCCAGCCACGGAGCCACCCTGGTCCTCCCATGCCGAGTAACCCCTGCATCTAGGCTACCAGAGATAGGAAAGCCTATCTACCCTGTATCCATCCCACTTATTCTTACAGATTTTTTACTCTGTTCCCTTTAAGTCCCCTAGTTTCTGGTATCCTCCCGGCCGCCAACAAAGAAGGAAATAGATTCCATTCAACAAATAGTAATTGAAAAACTTTTATGTGTCAGATGCTTTGTTTGGGCCCTTGAAATGGAAAGTTTAAGAGCACCTAGTTTCTGCCCTCCAGGAATTTACATTCAAGCGGGGATATAGACTAGTGAATTACAAAGCAGTGCTCTTAGTTGCTAGATAAGTGCAGGATGCCTTGGGAACTCTCCAGAGGAGTTCATACTGGAGGGGTGTCTGGTAGTTTCCTACAAGGGATACTTAACCTGTAAGGGTTGAGTGCAAAGTGGTTAGAAAAAGAAGGGAAGAGAATGTTTATTTCAGCTGAGAGAACAGCTCTGAGGCTACAAGCATGTTTTCTAGGAATTCAAAGAAGTTCAGAATGTCTGAAGTTTGCAAGAGAGGGGAGTGGAGAAATGAAACTGAGAAGAAAATTTAGTTTTATCCTAAAGACAAGAAACTTCTGAAAGGGCCGCCCGTGGCTCACTCGGGAGAGTGTGGTGCTGATAACACCAAGGCCACAGGTTCGGATCCCATATAGGGATGGCCGGTTAGCTCACTGGGTAAGCGTGGTGCCGACAACACCAAGTCAAGGGTTAAGATCCCCTTACCGGTCATCTTTTAAAAAAAAAAAAAAAAAAAGAAAGAAACTTCTGAAAGATTTTTGAGTTTAGAGTGGCACGATATAATTTACATTTCTGAAGAATCACTCTGACTGTGTGGAGAATGGATTGGAACAGAAAAGATTGGGAGCTACAGGACCCATTAAGAAGATGTGACATATAATGGTTTGGATGTCAGTTGAAATTATTTGAGAGCTATTTCAGCAGAATGACCTTGGCTTGATAGTTGGTAGAATATGAAGAGTGAAAGGGAAGAGACAGGACGATGCTAGATTTCTGGCTTGGAAAGCTGGATAGACACTGACATAGGGAGCCCAGCAGCAGAAACAGCTTTGGAGGCAGAATGCCTATGGGATGGGTAAGTGTGTTGATATATGGATCAGGAGAGTAATCTAAACTATGGTACAGATTAGCATATAAATGGGTAGAAGGAAATGAGATATACAGTCTGAGAAGAATAGGACCTTGACGACTTCCACATGTAAGGATGGAGAGAAAGGGGGGAAATAAACCACAAAGAATATTCACAAGAAGCAGTCAGAGGGCTGGCCAGTTAGCTCAGTTGGTTAGAGCGTGGTGCTGGTAACACCAAGATCCAGAATTCAATCCCTGTACTGGCCAGCCACCAAGAAAAAAAAAAAAAAAAAAAAGGCAGTCACAGAAGCAGGAGGAGTTCTAGGAAAGTGGGCATTACTAAAACCTTCAAATGGAGGAAGTAATCAATCCTACCAAAGGTGGCTGACAGGTCAGATGAAATGAAAACTGTGAAGAGTTTATTGGATGAAGGGTTTACTGAGAAAGCATACAAGAACAGTTTCAGGGCCGGCCCGGTAGCGCACTGCTACAGAGCGCCGCTTGGGAGCGCGTTGGCGCTCCCGCCGAGGGTTCGGATCCCACATACAGACCGGTTCCCGCTCACTGGCTGAGCGAGGTGCGGGAGCAACACCGAGGGTTGCGATCCCGTTGCCAGACACGAAAAAAGACAAAAAAAAAAAAAAGAACAGTTTCAGTGGAGTGTAGGAATGGGAATCTGATTATGGTGACAAAGGACAAATGGGAAGTGAATAAATAGAGGTAGCAAATATGGACAACCTCTTTAAAAATAATTTGAGTGGGAAGAACAGCAGACAGATAAGGAGGCATCTGGAATTAAAAAGGGGGATTTTTGAAGGTGGAGCACCGCCGCGCTTCCCAAGCGGCGCACTATCCAGTGCGCCACCGGGCCGGCCCCCTTACCGGTCATCTTTTGAAGGTGCAATATATTTAAATATGTTTTAATACTGGTGAGAAGAAGCCAGTGGGTAGAGAGGTTGAAGAAATTTGGGTAAGGATGATAGAGAGTGGGAGAGGGTCAAGTCATTCATTTAGCCCTTAGCAATAAACCAGATTGTATTTCCATTGTCAGACAAGGAAAGCAAGAAAAGATAACTACAAATGCAGGAAGGTTTGGAGATTTGGTGCCGGAAGTTGGAGTTCTTTCTGATGGTTTCTATTTTTTTCTCATGAAGACAAAAGAATGAGAATTATGAGGGAAGTGGCGAGTAGATTTGAGGAAATTGGAGAAGAGTTAGAGTAGTCTCAAAATTCAGGAAACTGATTAGAGAAATATTAGAGTGGCTTGGCTGTTAAGAAGCATGAATCTACTACCATCTGTCTGCACAATTTAGTGATTTTCTCCAGTAATATTTGACAGTCCAGGATTGTATGACATACAGGCTGGCATAATAGAATGACAAAGCGGCAAGAGAATGTTATTTATGTTAGTGGTGGTGATGGTAGTGGTGTTAGCTACCACTTACTAAGCATTTCTCTCTGCTAGTTCTTTACCTACATTATCTCATTAAATTCTCTGAATAGACATAATCGAGTTGAGAATGTTTGAAAGAGAGTGGTTAAAGTCTAAGTTGTTGAAGTCTAAGTGAAGAGAGTAGAGAGCTGATGGGGAGATTAGAGAGGTCAAGGGACTTAGACACTGATGAGGTACAAGGACAATATGAGAGGATTAGCCTGAGCAAGGGAACTAGAACAGAAATGTTTGGATTTAAGATATTTAAGATTTCAAAGAAGCATTTCCAGGTGATGTCAAGCTCCCTGGAAGTAGACATCTGAACAGGAAAAGTTAAAAAAATTATTGGAGCAAAAAGACATGAAGTCTCTTCCTGGTATCCTTTCTGAAATATAATAGAAAACACTTTGAAGTGCCTCCATGTGAGAAAGTTGGGAGACCTTAAATTTCTTTGGGGGACTAGTCTGTTTGTTACCAGACTCGGGTCCAGCTGCCCACCCCCTTGAAAAGGAAAGAAAAAAACTCAGAAGTCAAATGGTTGGTGTTAAAAAAGCAGATATATTCAGCTGAAGGAGATGGTAGGCTATCCCATCTCAAAGATTTACATTTACTGAGGGGTTTTTTTTTTTTTTTTAAAAAGATGACTTGTAAGGGGATCTTAACCCTTGACTTGGTGTTGTCAGCACCATGCTCTCCCCACTGAGCTAACAGGCCATCCCTATATTGGGATCTAAACCCATGGCCTTGGTGTTATCAGCACCACACTCTCCCAAGTGAGCCACTGGTCGGCCCAACTGAGGGGTTTGTAAAGGAAGGCTTGAGGGAATGGAATGTGGGAGGTGAAAAGCAGGAGAGCAGGAGATGTGAGTTATGAGGGGTCTGTTTCTATGGGTCAGGTACAAGGTCCTGCCAAGGCCTCATGTGGTTTCTGTTCTCACCTTCGCCGTTATGTCAGGACCTTGCAAGATTTTGATTTGCCCTGGTGTACTTGGCTGGTGCCCAAGGTCAGCTTCAGTCATTTGGCCTTGATCATTTCTCAA